TTCATATGTAAGAATTTACCAATTGGCAGAAGGTACTTGTTCGTGCGTAAGGTAAAGATTCTTAGAATAGGCAGTAAAACTATTCATACTCCCATATAAATTATAAATATGTAAATGTTAATAAAAGTGGTGTATATTCTCTCACATGTATATTTGATAAACTATTTATGAAACTAGATCAATCTAGTCTGAATTTATCTGTTACAAATATCCAAATGTAAGGCAAGATATAAAAACGAATAAAAGAAGAACATGTAAAAAGTAATATTAGTAAAATGTCCATTAACGATGCATTTAGAATAAATTGTCTTGTAGTTAAGTGAAAAAATATATACTTTTCCGTTTCATATTTCATGACTGACATATTTATCCCTTAACCTTAAACTGAAGCATCGGATATTTGTATTCCTGTCAAATCATATAGACACACGCAATATGAATGGAATATATAACATTCCATTTGTGCTAATAATACTCAGAATTCATGCTTTATCGGTAACGTCGGATATTGACACTAAAATGGTAACAGGGCTACGTAGCCCTATGAACGTGGGACAGAAAAAAGCATTGGATGATAGGTCTAACGACCGTGCTCTGTTTCAGCATGCATTTTTGTACGGGCGAATCGATTGCAGCGCTGTGTGGCTAGCGGAAGATTCATGAAACTCTTGGTCTTCATTAATTGATCACCCCTACCACGGGAGTGTTCGGACCTGTTTTATTACCGTGCTTGCTATAGACGGGCCGCGTCTATAAGTATATATGGTCTAAGGCCCTCACTTCTTCTGAGTCATTTAGGTGGCGCTCTAGAGATGTTATGAAACGTAAATTCGAGTATACTATCTATATTCTGTCAATGGTAACTTCTTCTTAATCTGATTCTCTTCGTTTCGCTGATCTCAAATCTTACTCAAAATCCTCTTTGAGATATTTCGTATTGCCTTTATACACCTGAAAAGGAGTAGTTCTACAGTTATACGTGCATTTAAGTAAGTTTAGGAATAAATATCACTAATATACAATATATACCTTTACGCTCTTAAGACAATTGAATTGTCGTCGGAATCCTAGCATTTTTATAGATTTCAGCCATCGTGGTCTCATTGCATGACCTTAACCTTAGAAGTAATAAAATACTTAAAATATGATTTTTACACAAATTTAAAATAGTAGTTTCATTTTAAAGTATTTATTGCTTACAACTTGTGATATAAAATAATATATTTATCGAGCAGTCCCATTTGATAGAGAGTGCTGCCAATAGTAGCTCTGAAGTCAGATATAACACATCGTGTTCATATTATAGTCCCGTTTGACCTCATAGTCCTCTTAAGTATGTAATTTTGGATGAAAATATATCGAAATGTAATTAATGGTAATATAAATTGACATATCTGTGTCAAAAAGTTTTTGAAATCCTAATGTATGGAATTCAAATACCCTATAAATATATAAAATGTTTTTTAACGTTTGAAAAGTTTTGTAGTAATAGATTTAGCACAAAAGATGAAAAGGAAGTTCATGTAAATGTATATCTAATATGACCCTGTTTTAGATTAGTGCATTGATGATAATAACATCAATTTATGTCGCACGTGTTTTATCTTGCTTGATCACAAAGTACAAATAGTAATGTTCAATGTAAATAACACATGATTGTGTATGTAGCTTTAAAAACATTACAACTATACGTCTTATACAAAAATAACAAAGTTGGGGCAAATGTATCACTTTCAGTTATCAGAAATAACATTAACGCAGTTTTTGTATAATTTTGTACATATAATTTATTATTGTGATATTTTTGATATACCCAAAAAATTGTACATATTGTAAGAATTTCTTTGCAAAATTTTCAATTTAATGAAGAACATAAATTAAACTGGATCTTATTAAGGTTTATATATTTTCAGAGGGGTATTGTATGAGTCAAAAAATAGAAAAACCAATATTATCAGGTCAACGCATAAAGACCAGAAAAAGAGGTATGTTTCAAGAAATATATATTTGCTAAAATTATATTTATTGAAATTGATATCACACAATTTTTTTACTTTCAGATGAAAAAGAAAAGTATGATCCAACTGGATTTCGAGATGCTATTATACTTGGTTTGGAAAAGGCTGGTAACGACCTAGATGCAATTTCAAAGTACTTGGATGCAGCTGGTTCTAAATTAGATTACCGTCGATATGGAGAAGACTTATTTGACATCTTAATAGCTGGTGGCCTTTTAGTTCCAGGCGGTTCTATTGCTCAAGATGGTGACAAACCAGTTAAAACTACCGCCTGTGTTTTTGAACAGCCAGAAGATATGGAATCAATGCGGAACTTTGAACAAGTAATATACCTTTTGCAATACATCGTAATATGATTTTAAATATAATATTGTCTTTAGGTATTTATCAAACTTATGCGTCGCTATAAATATCTGGAAAAAATGTTTGAAGATGAAATGAAAAAAGTACTGGTCTTTATGAAAGGATTTACTCCTAAAGAAAGAATAAAATTAGCTAGAATGACAGCTCTATGGATTTCAAATGGCGCTGTACCACCTTCAGTTCTTTCAGTTTTAATCAATGAACATCTTGTCAAGGATAACTTGGCACTAGACTTTTTATTGGAGGTCTTTGTTACTTGGAGAGATGAAAAGGGTTTGTCTAGTTTAATGACAGCATTGAAAAGAGGCAATATTGAAAGAAGGTACAAAATTGTTTTATTTGGTATATTATTAAGTTAATCTTATCGGATTTCTGTTATATTAATTATATTAACAGGTTAATGGAATTTGTACCACCCAATAAACGAACAGAGGAATATTTTCGATCCGTATTTGAAACTGTTGGTCTTGCAGATATTGTAAAATTGCATAAAGCTCAAGCAAGTCAAGAAGCAAAACGAGATTTACAACAGCTTCTATTAGATGATTTAGCCGATAATCGTCCTATGAAAGATATTATTCTCGACCTCAAAGAAATGGCACAAAGAAATCGCATTCCTGAACATGAAGTTATTGGCCTGGTAATTGTAGTTTTGATATTCCAAATACTATAGCTAATCCAAAGATCATAAAAATTAACAACTGGTTGCAGATTTGGGGTGTTGTAATGGGTCAAGCTGAATGGAACAAGAAGGAAGAACTGGTAGCTGATCAAGCACTGAAACATTTAAAAGTATATACTTCACTGTTTGATGCGTTTACAGTCACTGCCAAGTCTGAACTTGCGCTTCTTCTCAAAATCCAGGAATTCTGTTATGAAAATATGAACTTCATGAAAGTCTTCCAAAAAATTGTTTTACTATTTTATAAAAGTATGTTATATCGAAATAATTTTGACTCACATAAAATTGATAAAAACTTTCTTACTTTGATTCCTTATGTTTAACAATTTATTTTATTCCAGCGGATGTAATATCAGAGGAAGTGATTTTAAAATGGTATAAGGAGTGTCATTCTGTTAAAGGAAAACTGCTTTTTCTGCACCAAATGAAAAAATTTGTAGAGTGGTTACAGATAGCAGAAGAGGAATCTGAATCAGGAGAAGAGGAAGATTGAGAAGAGGAATAAGAAAAGCAACAAAAGTATTTTATTCTAATATACTAAGATTATTTCTTTTTCACTTTCTTCATTAAAATTTGTTTATATTACAGGATAATATAACCTTTATTATCAGAAACTAACATTCGGACTTCATCCAAAATTTAAAAAATGGATCAGATATAAACTGCAATTGGATTGTACTGACAAATGGAAATTTTGAAAAGCCAAAGTTTATATTATTGCAAGACACAGTATGATGAAACAAGTACATAAAACCTTTTTAATTGTTAACAAACACGAAACGATATTACCAAAATCCAAGTAGAATGAAAAATAAAGTGTAAATTTGCAATGTCTTTAAATTGTATTACTTTAAGAAGAAATATTTTGTGTTACATTTTTATAATACCGCAACAAAATATATACAGAATAACAAAAAAGTTATCGAAGAATAGATCTTTATCCCTGTGCACGTATAATTTTCGAATCCTTTTTGTATGAGAACATTGTATTAGTTTATAGAAAATATATTATCAGGTGATGTTTAATATTTGAAGTTTTGGTAAATCCTAACTTCCTGTAATAGTATTGTAAATTTTATAACAATGAATACGCAATCTTATAAGCATTAGTTTAAATCGAACGATTTTAAGTTTACTAATTATGAACAAATATTTATCCTCTGTAACGTTATTTAGAACAAAATTTTGTATTCAAATACTAAATGACAATTTGACATTTATATAGTATTTAATTGTTAGTATATTCTTTCGTTTAATTACCTAATAAAAAATTCAAATGTATAATGTTAAAAACAACTATATATATTCAAAACATATTTACTTCATAATTTAGTTTATAATATATACGACAGAAACAAAAATCTACAGGTTTATTTCAAGCCATTTTATTATAAATTACTTCAGTTTCATCTTATATTTTGCGTCAAACTAAATTTATACAAGTTTCTTAAGACTAATAATGAGTATTCCTGAGGAATGTACATATAATAACAATAATTAAATATTTAAAGATGATGAAAAATCTAAATATTATTAATACATTAATATTTCTGTGCATTTTTTGTTTATATAAGGAGAAAATGAATACATCCATACATAACTATGTACGTAGAACCTACTATTCAACTAACATGAAACTGTTTGAGATATTTAATACTTTAGTATTAAATAGTAATTTTTTATCAAAATTTCCATAAATATTATAACACAGAAACGTTTATATTCATACCAAAGTTCTGAATATTTGAAATAAATACGTTTAATTATTATATATTAAATATGTGTTATATTATATAATATAATGTATAATAATATGTATAATTAAACATAGTAATTATTTTTTACATGTAGATAGACATATATTATTACCAACGTATTTGAACACATCTATTATTGGACATACATGTATATTATAATATAGACAAAACAGTTGTATATTAAAGTTTTTGCTTATATTTATACATTCTCATGTCAGCAACTGGTTGTTTCCTAATCAGTACTTTTTCCTTCATATAGGGTACCAAAACTTCAGGAACCCTGATACGAGCATGTTTTGTTTGATGTGTTTCGCAAATTGCTATTAACATACGAGGTATCGCACAAGCAGTTCCATTTAGGGTATGCGCATATAAAATGTCTCCATTTTGCATTTTATATTTTATGTTAAGTCGTCGTGACTGATAATCTGTACAATTACTACAACTAGATAATTCTCCATATAGTTTTCTTCCAGGCATCCAACCTTCCATATCAACTTTTCTAATTATACAAGATTTATAATAACTTACTAATTAAAAAATTTTACAGTGAGGCATGTACAATGTGTTACTCCAAACATACCTGTATGCAGGTGCTCCTAAATCATGAGGTGGCATGTCAACTATTTGAAAATGTAAATTTACTGAAGAAAACAAATTTTGTTGAATCTCTTGAAGTTCCTGAAATTGTTCCACGGATTTTTCTTGCACAGAGCATACAAACATCTCAACTTTTGTAAACTGATGCACCCTTAAACAAGCAAACACATTGTATATGATGATCAAATTCTAGTTTGATCAGCTCTTAAGTAGTGAATGTTAAGGTGTAATAATTTTAATTAATACTTTATACTATATGTAATTGGAAGTTACCTGTATATCCCCCTTTCTTCTGCCATACGAGATGTTTCCGCTCTGAAACATCTGCTTACAGCAGCTAATTTTAAAGGCAACTCTGCACTGCAAAATGTACTATTCATAACTTTATAAGCTAATGACATTTCTGCTGTTCCAGACAAACTGTAATCGTCTCCATAAGATGGATTTAAAGTATATACAAGAGTCCGTCCATTATCTGATATCAATCCACATCTTTCTATAACCTTAGTAGGAATAATATCAGGTACTGAAATAAGTTTAAAGCCATAATTCATTAGTTGTTTAATTGTGTAATGAACCAATGCTTCTTCCAATTCTGCCAAATCTCCTACAAATATGTATCCTCTTTGTCCTATTAAAGGACCTAAAGATTGAGTTTTTAATAATTTTAATTTTGTAACCAGCTCTGAAAATTCTTTGGGCTCAAAATCAAATTCTGGTTTATATCCACATTTTTGTAGCACCCGTGGTTCATTACCATATGATAATACAGTTGGATCTGTCTGATTTGGTATTTTATTTAACTCGTGTAAAAAAGATTCTTTTAACTCTGGTTTCTGTGAAAGCTCAAGTACTTTGTCGATATTTCCAATACCTTTCCTTGCGATTATATTATTACGAATCACATTTCTATTAGAAGGATTACATAAAAAATTGATGTTATATTCAGGTTGTGGCATTTGCTGCACTGAGTTAACATTATTTTCTGTAGATCGTTTTTGAGGCTGCAATGAAATACAAATACATAATAGACTATGAATTTCATATTTTTTAAATAAAAACACCTTCCAACTGATACAGCAAATAACATTTATAACATACCAAGGTACACATATAAAATCGTTGATTCCTAACAAGCTGATTTAATCCCTTCTTAAACCACATTTTGAAGATAAGGAATGTTTTATTTAAATAAATTATCAGTAGGTAATTGTATAATTGGTTCAAACTATGTACAGTTTTTCTGAGTTTTTCTTCTGTGTACTTACGAAAATGTGTATGTATGTATAATAATCATTTGCACTATCTATAACAATAACACATACTTTCTTGGTAATTTATCAAATGTCAAGTGTTTAAGACAATATTATATAATAAATTGATATTGTAATACAAAATCCTTTTGTTACATTCCTTGCTTTGTATATACGGATATAAACGTGATTTGCGATTTATACAACCACTAATCTAAATATTTGTATATTTAGGATTATTGTATCGGTAATACTATTTCTGAATTTATGTGAAATAAATATACTATTTAGGTAAGTACTATTTATTTATTAAATCACATAAATGGAATTAATTTCATTAATAATACATAAATAGATTGAAACTGAAAAATAAAATTAACCTCTTTTCTGTTCATTTACTATGTAACAAAATTATAAATAAAAGGGAATAAAATTCAATTCTACATTATAAATAATGTTATGAAATTTAGATTTATAAACAATATTAATTACAGATCGCTATGGGTTGCCGAATGTTCTTAAGGAAGTGGACTTCTTTGCATTGTTTTCCTTTTAATTATCATAAGTTCCAGAATAATACTAAAAATTTGAAATATGTTCGGATTGGTATTGTTACAGCTGTTATGATTTGTAATACAGTAGGATTAACTGTTTTAGCAGCAACAAATGTATTAGATGTTACAAAATTTATGGCTGAACCCATTACTAATATTAATGAACTAAAGAAAAAAAATAATATGAGGAAAAAAATGGAGCTATTAGTAATGAAAACTCAAGGAGACTTTTGCAAAGCATTAGAATCCTTAGAAGATTCAGCTTGTCATTTCAAAATTGATAGATGGACCAGAGAAGAAGGTGGTGGAGGAATTACATGTGTTTTACAAGATGGAACTGTGTTTGAAAAGGCTGGTGTAAATGTGTCCGTTGTTACTGGTACATTACCACCAAGTGCTACACAACAGATGAGAGCACGTGGTAAAAAGATGCAAGAAGGACCTGTACCATTCTTTGCAGCTGGTGTGAGCGCAGTAATTCATCCCCGTAGTCCTATGATTCCAACTATACATTTTAATTATCGTTACTTTGAAATTGAAAATCAAGATGGTACAATTCAATGGTGGTTTGGAGGTGGTACTGATTTAACACCTTATTATTTAAATGAAGATGATGTGAAACATTTCCATAGTACTTTGAAAACTGCATGTGATAAACATAGTCTATCTTATTATACAAAATACAAAAAATGGTGCGATGATTATTTTTTCATTACACATAGAGGAGAGTGTAGAGGTGTAGGTGGTATCTTTTTCGATGATCTTGATGAGCCAAATCAAAGTGATGCTTTTGAATTTGTAAAATCTTGCACAGAGGCTGTAATTCCTTCTTACATACCATTAGTTGAAAAGCACAAAGATGATGCATATGGATATTCTGAAAGGCAATGGCAACTATTACGTAGAGGAAGATATGTAGAATTTAATTTAATATATGATCGTGGCACAAAATTTGGGTTATATACTCCTGGTGCACGATATGAAAGTATATTAATGTCTCTACCTTTATCTGCAAAGTGGCAATATATGCATGAACCAGAACCTGGATCAAAAGAAGCAATACTTACTGAAGTACTAAAATGTCCTAAAAATTGGTTAAATTTGTAAAAATAAAGTGATATTAAAAAATTGTCTACTCCATGTTGAGTATTATTATTTCTCATACCATATAGTTATCTTTTATTAAATCAGTGAAATAATTTGTTTCATGTTTTTGAGAAAGATTGAAAGCAATTGGAAAGATAAAATATTGTTGAACAATACTACAAAATACAGTTGTGTTTTTAAGACACTTAAATGTACATACATTTTGATTGCATAAAATTAGTACATAAAACATTTATACCTTACCTATATAAGAGATTGCATACTAAATAAAGTATAAGTATCAATGTATTTTCTGGCAGAAGTAATATTTATTGATACCTCATTTGTTCATTCGGACCTCGAGGGTGGGGGGGAGGGGATTATATTCATATACTACAAATGTGTGTTCAGATATGCATGTTATATCTCAATGTAATTTTAAATGTTGCGGAAAGTAATGTTAATATGATTGCTGATTTATACATATACTATTTAATATACATACATTTATTTATATTAAATGTACAACTGCAGACTATTTACAATATACAAAACTTAAAAAATAAACATATAAACTAGATGATTCTTGCACACATAAATATGTATAAAACATGGAATACTGTAAATTTAATTCAAACTCAGTTCACTTGACGAAATATTTAGCTTTAAAAGGTACTTTATAAGTTGCAAAAAATAATATTTTGCAAAAATATTTTAGATAACAATATACAATATCATGTTATAATATACAGACCAATATGAAACAGAAATACATGTATATGGAGATAAATGTTAATTTTGATTACATTTTTCTCATTATATGAAGGAGGTTTTATATAAAAATTGCGTTTATACTAGTATAAAATTCGTTTTTGTCAATTACGTACTTATGTATGTACATTCTTCCATAAATAAATATATATTCTAAAAATGTTTGAGATATACCTAATTGTCCTATATTTTTATACAAACAAAAATATATGGAACGTATTTGGCATCTTTCAAAAACGTATTAGTAGAAGATAAAATATTCTTATAGAAAGAATAATTTTTTCATCATAGGAACTATAGTTTATAAAAACGCTGACATAGTACAATGAGTTGATTAATTAAATTTTCTAAATTTAATTAAATGTAAGGATTATCATTAAATTATGTATATTTCATTGTCCAAATGAAATGCTTTATTAAAATAAATATGTTACTTATTGGGTTTATATAAACTAATTAGATTATACGCTTGTTTCCTTTTTGGTTGCTGGGAGATAGACATTCGGATTCTTTAAGTAAAATTTTCTGACTTCAATAGGTTGTTTACTGTCCAAATTTGTATTTCTGTTTATATTTCCTATTTCATTGCTTGGATAAAAATTTTTCACAACATTGCAGGAACTTGATGCAAGTGATCTAGTATTAGTCAAACAATTGACAATCTTTTCTTTATAGTCTTGTGGTACGTTTGTGTGACTCATATTAGCCAGTGTAATTTCTGGATGACAACAAAAGTTGTATTCATTGGAGCTTACATTGGAGGTACACTCAATGTTCATTACGGAATTATCTCTTATGCTTAATGTTTGGCCCAAAGTAGGTGCGCTTTCACTGGTTAAATCGTTTTTTTCGCAAAATAACAGTTCTGACTGGCTAAGTGATTTTCGAGGTATAGAAACCTGATCATACAGATTTGACCTTGCAATACATTGTACATTTATGAATAATGGTTTTAAATGTTTGCAGTTCTTTGAACTAATGAAGGATGCAGTGTCATTCAATGAGTTACGATAATTACTATTTAATGGTTCTGCAGTATCTATTGGTAAAGAATACATACTGTTACAGTGAGACAAACATGTTAAATTAGTTTTTAAATACCGCTCTCTTATCTCATGAGAGTCAATCACACTTTGACATCTTTCCCTTACAAGTTTGTTCTCTCTAACTGTTTCTGCAGTTTCATAAATTTCTGATAAATTATGATCACTTTTTTCACTAATCATTTGAGTAGTCGACTCCACTTCAGAACTGTATTCTAAACTGCATTGCTGTGAAACATTTCGCAAGTGCTTTTCTTCATCACTTTTAATATCTGCATCTGAGTCGTGCGAATTTGTCTTCTGCAATCTGCAATTGTCGATTTTTCTCACATTTCGAAAAAGACTTTCTTGACTGATAACAAAGTGCATTGAGACATTTCTTTCTTCCGATATACTACCACCACTATCTGAGAGGATGTTAACGTTTTTAATATCATTTACTGGATTCAGTTCAACATGAATATTTGTATTATTTACTTTTGCACTAGTACTCAAAATAGTTTGTTCCATGTTACGTTCTAATTTTGCAGCAAATCGCGGTACAGATACACAATTACGAGCATCACTAGTAGCACCACCATCACCTTGTTTTCTAGGGCCAAGATTATTATTTTTTGTATGTCGGCGCTGTTTTCTAAAAAATTTTCTAGCAACTCCACTTTGATGACGATTATAAAACATTTCGACACATGTTGGTTCAGTATATGTTGTAACAGAATTATTAGATCTGTACTGTTGTCGATGTAACACAATTAAATTTATATTTGCCATTTTCCTACCAACAGGTAAAGACTCTTTATTACTTATAGCATCTGAATATTTGAAAGTATTACACGTTTGTAATCTATTTGTGTACCCTGATGAGCCAATGGAATTGGAATCAGATGTCACTTGAGTGGCTTGAGAGTTAGACAACGGTGGTACTAAATGCTGTACTAAAGGTTGTGTTGGGATTACAGGATTTGTATCGGAAATACTTCTTGTTCTACAACATTGGTTCTTTCGCTTCTTAAGCCAACAGCGCATTTTTAACCATTCTGATTTCACATCATTACGTACTACTCCATAAAATATAAGTACGAAAACACCAAGTAAACTTGAGAAAAGTAAATACAGAGTAGAAAATATAATTTCATCAAAAGAAGTATATGCACTTAAGGGTTTTGTAGTCGTTGCTGCAGCAGTGATCCATGATATTAAGTATAAAATTAACATAATAATTTGACCTTTTAATTGTGTTATTTGAGAATGTTCAGAATCCAAAATATCAGAAGAAAGTTGCACACTGTGTATACTATTTTTATCTGCAGACAGATTTGTGCTTGGTTCTAATAATTCTAAATCCATATTCTCTGTAGCTTGTGTGCCTTCAGATAATTGAGCATTTACATCAACATTTTCAATTGCACATTTAATAAGTAAATGAGAAATAATTAGATACACAATTATAATTCCAGCTGGAAGAAAAAAGGCAGCAAGAGCAGGACCAGATGTAAGAAAACAATAAGAATGTCCTGCGTATTCTCGTAGACTAATTGCTCCAGATATACCGCAAATTATCATAGCTATACCCCAACCAACCAAGTAAAGACCTAGTAGAGGTTTTGGTATTGGTTGATCTGGTTCAATATTTGGAATATCCCTGAGATCTGACTTGGAAAAGTTTTTGTACATATTACTGCAAATAAATTAAATTTTTAATACTGTTGCTTTATATAATATGTGTAAAGTAATTTTTGTAAGATGTAAAAATAATTACCTAGCAAATACTGTCATCCACAATAAGGAACATAAAGATAAATAGTGAAGTATTAAACCAACACCTTGACAAATTTGAATATTTTCTGTTTGGTGAATACCAATACTATAAGAGAATGATAATAATGCCATTGCAAACCAGGTATTAATAACACAATGTTTCGCTTTCTTTGGCATAGTAATTGATGCATAACATATAATGTATGTCACAGAGGTAATAATTAAACATGTTATTGTTATAACACTTCCAATGTATACTGCAGGATTTGAATATCTAAATTTTGCTGCAATTATACTAAAAGTAAAACTATATTAAAATTTGAAAAAGGAAGAAAAATGTTGATTACATATGGTACGTACCTACTATCACCGTGATCCAGATAAAATGTATCTTGCAGAAGTCCATAATATCCCAATCGATTGCAATGAAATACTACTAAATTGTTCAGTACATTTCTTAAATAACAACCATCGCTAGTCCAACCACCTGATTTATTCAGAGTTTCATCCCAAACCATGGGTTGCAGTTTGTTTGTTGCATAAGAATATAATGGTGCTTTTAACATGACGTACACAGGCTCAGTTAAATTTTTTACTGACATTCCAACTGAAAATGAAGTTTGAATTTTATAGATTACTTTCTATTATGATTGTCATGTATTGTTCATATATTATTTATACATACATAATTTGCTTCCTATAACGCACGATGTAATATCCATATTATCACTAGTAACTATTTTAGGAAATAATCTGCTATTATTGTATACAGAAATCATCAGTTGATGAGTAACGATATCTTGTGAATGTTCTAATAATGATGCAGGTAAATGTATCGAGGCTTCAATTATTTTGTCTTTTATATCAAGAGGAGCAGTTCTATTGTTTGTTGTACATTGTAAGAATTTTGATTCAGAATCATCAACAGAAGCAACATTAGAATACCATGTACATATTAATCCAGTAAAACTACTACGTTTCACTTTAAATTCTTCTAATGCTATATTTTTTTTATAAGCTTGTATAGATGGAGTAAGTTGCACTACCTTCTCTACTGTTTTTATTAGTTTTGTACACGATTTAAAAGAAATTTCAGAACTTTTTAAGATGCTTTTTGGTAAATTAATTACTGCAGCAATAATGTCAAGTAATATAGTACCAAGTTCTCTTTCTTCAACTAGGAAGTTTAAATATTGTTCTATAGTTTGTGCTATAAAATTTATTTCAACAGGATCAGTTACTTTTAATCCACTTGCTGTGTAATTTTTGAATTTTTTTGCAGTTTCCAATAAATTGATCTTCGCAAGGGAAAGATTGACCTTAGAAAATTGTTCTAAGCTTTTTGTTGTCTGTGATATGTATGGGCATAATTCTGTATTTAAACTTTCCCAATATCCTGTGCTATTACAACGGTGAGAAGCTTTCTTAATTAAATTGGAGAAATGATTACCTTCACATGGCAGTTCTACTTTCCATCCTACTATAGTTGTAGGCCATGTGTAAACACCTTTATTGTTTTTAGTTACTGCAACACATTTACTTATTACATACTTATACAGGTATTCAAAATGTATAAGTTATCTTACCTGCTAGAGGACAGTAACGAGTTTGATCAGAAATGACAATTACATTAATTGACTTTGTTCTGTTACCATTTATTGAAATTAATAAACACTTCCATTGTCCATTATGCTCTTCTTTAACTGAAATAATACTAAGTGAACTGAAAAAAATAGTAATATAACTATGTAAATATACACAAATGTATGAAAATAGTTCAAGTTGGATTAAATTCTAGTTTACCTATCTACAATGCCACTGTCTGTAAGATATCTATTATCAACTTTAATATTGGTTAAACTTTTCTGTGGATCTGAAAATGCATTTAAATCCATAAAATTAGTAGTAGCATTAGGATACCATAACCAATGCAATTTTGCATTTTTATCTTCAGTGACACTAGGTGCTCTACATTTTAGAGTTAATGAATCTCCAGCAAAGACAACTTGATTATGAACTGGTTGAAGTTCTATTGCAGGGGGCAACCACTGACACTGAATATTATTTGAATATCTTAATTTTTTCATAAGTTCTCCTTTAACATTTGTAGGTGATGCACATTTTGGGGCATTACTAAAATGTTGTACAAAATTTATTACACACTTATAAAAAGAAAATTCAGTATTAATAAACAAATATACATTACATTAATTTAACAGAACTCTTATGGACCCAATCACTGAACCAATATAATTCACAATCACATTTCCATGGGTTGGTAGACAAATCTCTAAGACAGAAATTTAAGTTCGATACACCTTCTTTCATCTGTACTTGTATTGTATTATTTGTACTTACAACTGCTTTAAAGACTTGAGGCCATAAAAGGTATTATCTTTCAAAGACGTTAACTTATTTTCATTTAATTTCCTAAAATATTTGGATAATTAAACACATGTCTAAGTATTCCTAAGTACAACTTGACTTAGATGAAAGTATTTATATTAAAGTATGTACACACAAAAAAGAAAATTAAGAACTCACTTACAAATGCTCTAAAGCCAGTAAATCATGAAATAATGTTGATATCATGATACTTATGTTGTTTCTTGATAAATCACTAATAATTAAGGAAAGTATGTAGAAGATATATGAAAGTATGTAGTAGCATATAATCAATACTATATATAAACTTACAGTTTTTTTAAATTAGGTAATTTTCTAAATGCATAAGCATCTATGAATGTGATTTGGTTCTTACTTAAATCTCTAAAATTAAACATATAAAATTAATATTTTATACTATATAATACAATTATTATTAACAAAATTGTAACTATAACTATATATATTCTTACAGTCTTTCTAAATTTCCAAGACCGTTAAAACAACCATCACCAACAGATGTTATATTGTTTTGTGACAAGTCTAAACGTTTAAGATTTGTCAGATTTTTAAATAAATTAACTTCAATGGTATAAATGTTATTTTTGCTTAAATCCCTGCAACATTTTGATATCAATAATGAAACACTATAATACATATTGCATTTATGAAAACAAGATAATAGCAAGTATTTATAAAATACTGTTCATGTTCTTACAGTTGTATTAATTCGACACTAACAATGTCGATATTTATATTCTTAATGTCTTCCAATTCATTGCCACATTTAACACGTAACCATTCTGCTTGTGCCCCAAGTTTACATGTACAATATTGGGGACACGTCTGATCAGTTTTTCCTCTAGCTTGAATTAAAATTAAAAACACAAGGGCAGCTCTCATCATTAGAAAAGGAAGACTTCTATCTATATAATAATATTAAATAACAAAGTTTGTAAGAATTATGAATTTTTCAATGTTTGTACAAATTACTATCATAAGCAAGTGCTTTTAGTAATTGTACAAAAAATAAATAATGAATGAAATTACTATATATAATTTCTCTTTAATACTTACACATACACGATTACGAAAATAATTGTATTTGTCACATTCTTACAATATAAAATCTCACGTTATTTTTGCGTACTATATATATCTACCTCAGTCATGATAAATAATTACAGGAATACAATAATATTAAAAGACAAATACTGCGATCTGCATCACCAGCATCAACTGTTACAAACTATTGATTACTTATATCACCGACGAGGTATAAGAATAGACTTTTCATCTTATGAGAGTTGGTGACCCATCTAAACTGTAGTACCGACACCTTAAAAGTCTGTGATTTCAGCGACATCTACGTTATGAGAACGGTGAATTTGCGGTGGGTAGTGACACTAAAATGGAAATAGGACGACGTGGCCCCAGAAAAGTGGGCCGAAAAAATACATTGTATGAAATGTCTATTCCCATACCTCGTCTGTGCATATATACAGTGATGCCAGAATCGTGGGACGAAATATGCTTGGGAGCTGACAAGAAGCCCTCCAATCAAATTCGTTCGTGACAAAGAGAGCGAACGGGACACACGAGATCAAGTGAAATAGAACAATAACACAGTAATCACGTGGTACTGCGTGTTTGCAATACTAACCAGTACTAACCATTGGTTGGCGAAATACCCTTTTTACCCCTGTGCCAGACAGTTTGATACATAGCATATATAATAGACTGCCCGGTCTTATGGTAGGGATGAAGTCGGTACTACAAAGAGAGGGCAGTAACTGGAGTAACTTTCCTTTCTTTCTAATGGGGCTGTTGGTGGGGGATTCTCCACGGCTATAAATTGTGGTGCAAGGGTCGGAAACTCCCACCGATTTTCGAGACTTTTGGTTAGTTCCTATATGAGCAGAGTGTACATAGATGGCGATAGTGCTGTGATGATCAGTACCACCACCGACTAGGTATAGGATAGACCTATCATCTTATGGGACTTCGTGTCTCATGTTCTAAAATACCGATAGTGTAAAAAGTCAGGGATTTTCTGCTGCCCTCTACGTTATGAGAACGGTGAATTTGTGAACTACGTTAAATCTAAGAAGGGACCATGGCCGTGAACGGATTCTCTTCCGTTCGTTCGCTGTAAAGTAGACGTATTAGAAAGGAGTCTTGGGTACCAGTCCCGACGGACCTATTGGTTTTTTTCGCGTACAAAAAACTTATTGCGTTTAACACGTTGAGTGCCACGTCAGTCACCACTGACTGACACAACTTTTTGTTCAGGCCGCGACAGTCGCCGGTGACTGACAGTGTAAAATATGATATAAGACTAAAAAATTTACATTGTTTTTAGTTACCTAACATTTTTATTTAATACGGAATTGTATTATTAAAAATACAAAGCTTCGCATTGCTGTACCATAATACCCGCGCTTCTAAGCAGCGCGCGTGGCCTGACGGCGATTTCCTTATAAAATCGCGTGGCACTCAACGTGTTAATATTGTTTTTATGAATATGTATATGTATTATTATGTACATTTGAGTAAATTATTTTATTATTCCATTCTTATTACAACAGTTTAACAGTGACAACGAACGGATGTATATTTTCAAATATCGAACTAATAGTATATTTTTATTTTATATTATTACATATAAGTGAATAATGTGTATGAAAAACGTAATCAAAACAGAGATTTTTATTACACCACAAACATCGCATAAAAGATATGTTGACGTTATATTGACATTTGTAATAATTATGGATGTTGCGGGGAAATCAATATTATTGACATTATGGAACATATAACGAAATATCACTGTAACACTTAAAAAAGTTTTAAAGTTCCATTTATATCATTGTCCTGTGAAAATGTTCATACTTCCAGCAGCATTCATATTCCAATCAAAGAATTTACAGAATAAGGAAAAGGAATCTAAAGTAATTTTCAGTAGTTCCATAGATCTTTATCTCGAATACTTTTCTAAAACATTCAAAGTACTAGACATTTTTACACTTTGAATCTCATATCGATTTCTAAAATAACCCTAGTTCGATATAATATAGAACGTGGTTTTATGAGATAGATTCGAAGTTCGCAGCCATTAGCTCGATATTGTCTTCAGTTTACAGTACTTTACCGATGATAATACCGATTGCCCAGGCCTCACCACGAGGAGGTTGCTGCGAGTGGAGGCCCAAGGCAGGTAGATGGAATCACAAGTTCTACATCTTCCCACCTTTCACAATAAACCTTATAAATAATTTAAATCTTAACTATCTAAACCTATCGGTACTAAAATCCCTCGGCGGATGACTTCTTTCTTGAGCCTAAACCTATAAAAAAGGTACTAAGTTCCCTCGTCGGTTGTCTTCGTTCTTCAGCTTAGAACTAATATTATCTTAATATTCTAATTAATACGAATTAATGCTAGTAATACGAAATAACTTCAACTAAACGCAACGTAGTCGCTAATGCTCAAACGAAAGAGATAGACGGAATGGAAAAAGTTCCATCGATCATTTCGTTTACGCACCTAATATTCTATATACCAAGCAGTTATTAAGTCTACGATGAACTACGCGTTAAACTACAGTATGAACAAGTATCGCGATGAAAGTGTTGTCGCCAGAACCTGGCAAGATATAAAAACGAATAAAAGAAGAACATGTAAAAAAAGTAATATTAGTAAAATGTCCATTAACGATGCATTTAGAATAAATTGTCTTGTAGTTAAGTGAAAAAATATATACTTTTCCGTTTCATATTTCATGACTGACATATTTATCCCTTAACCTTAAACTGAAGCATCGGATATTTTTATTCTCATGAAATCATATAGACACACGCAATATGAATGGAATATATAACACTTCATTTGTGTTAATAATACTCAGAATTCATGCTTTATCGGTAACATCGGGTATTGACACTAAAATGGTAACAGGGCTACGTAGCCCTATGAACGTGGGACAGAAAAAAGCATTGGATGATAGGTCTATTCTATACCTAGTCGGTGGTACCACCTAGGGACGCTTTAATTTGAATCGTAAACACTCAGCGTAGCTTGGCTGTGCTTGGCTTGGCTTCAGTGATGCCAGAATTGGTTCCACCACCACGACGTCTCAGCGTCCCCCACTTTATTCCTCAGTTTTTGCTACACAAGCATACTTTGCTTCTATCCGTGTGAACTGGCCGTTCGGGTGTTTCCGTAAGAATCTACGTTACCGATGCGACTCCCAACAACCTGAGCGCTTCCGCAGAAATCAGGAGACTCTGTTCGAATTTCGCTACGACGGTTTTACTTTATATTTTTAATTATTCTGTAACTTCGCTTTGCAACCCCTTCGTAAAATAAAAGATTGAAAAATATCGATTTGCGAAGCATTTAAAAAAAGGGGCTGCATTTTTCCCTCTTCCATAGTTAAATATATGTATTCAAGTAAGTAAAGGTTTTACAAATGTTAATGTATGTGGTAGTCGCGGAAGTTAATTCCAGCCTTTTCGGTTTTTACGCACTGAGAATTGCGGGGGCCTGTGTACAGAGTATAGCTTATTTTAAAAATGCTTAAAAAGGACTTTAATACCCGATCTCACTAACTGGACTCCTGGTATGAGTACGCGTCCCTTTTTATAATCCGAAATTCGAGTCTAAAAGTAGTGGAGGACAAGCCTGTTCTTCAACGGAATCAGTTTTCTGAGAAAATCTAGTAACTACGTAATCTGGCCGGATGTATTCCAACTCTCGATAGGGTTAAGAGGTCACGAGATTGTCTTCGTACGTAACAATGCATTTACCATAAATGCAAAACGAAACACATAATAAATTTGATATATTTAAATAAATTGTGTAAGAACTCATAATATATAGAAACATCTGTTTATTGTATGAAATGGAAGTAGTTAATAATTAAATTAAAATTTATTTCAATATTGTAGTTATAATGTCTAATTAAGTATGGAATTACTGTTGTATTTTAATAATAAACGAACTAAATAAGCAAACGTAAGTTAAAAATGTAGGTCAACCACTTTATTTCATTCACGTATCCTTGAAATATTCCTTTGAGCCAACAACATCAGGTTTCATAGTTTTCTTTCCTGGTTTCCAGCCAGCAGGACATACTTCTCCATGTTTATCAGTGTACTGGAATGCTTGGACCAAGCGCAAAGTTTCGTCAACAGATCTTGAAATAATTACATTTATTAAACAATGAAACATCAGAAATTATATTTCAAAAATTATCACTTTGTATAGTATTTTACCTTCCAACTGGTAGATCATTGATAGTAACCTGACGTAAATTTTGTTTATCGTCTATGATAAAAAGACCACGGAATGGAATACCAGATTCCTCATCAAGTACACCATAATCACGTGCGATTTTGGCACTTTTATCAGCAAGAAGAGGAATGTTCATTTCACCAAGACCACCCTGTTTACGTGGTGTATTTACCCATGCTAGGTGACTGAAGTGAGAATCAGTTGATGCTGCAATGAGTTTGCACCCAATTTTTTCAAATTCATTAGCCCGATCAGAAAAAGCAATGATTTCAGTTGGACAAACAAATGTGCTATGGAACAAAGAATCATTAATTGTCAGATAATATACCACTGGCAAAGACAATGTTATGTCTACATTGACAAAATACGAAGCACTTACAAATCTAAAGGATAAAAGAAAAGGACAAGATATTTTCCTTTATAATCGGAAAGAGAAATATCTTTAAATTCTCCATTGACAACTGCAGTGCCTTGGAAAGAAGGAGCTCGTTTCTGAAGTGCTGGAACTGGCATGGTGGTTTTTCAAATATCTGTAATACAAAACAATTGTATTAAAAACATATTAAGTAAAAAAAGTTTTACTTAACGGAAGAAGTCGGGCAGGCTCGGGCGGGCTCGGGCGAGCACCTGAGACAAACGAATGCTCGGGCAGCCGACGCTTTAAGGCCGATTCGGAAGAGAAAGAAGTCACGTTAATTAGTCAGTGGTAGATATCTGTAAAATATTCAATAATGTAGATATACAACGTAGGGCGGACCAGGGCTGGTAGGCCAGTGTTTCATTGTTTGATTTTTAATAAATAATATGGGCGAAATATTATTATAATAGTTCTTACATTTGAGTAAATGATTGAAGTTGACTTAATGTGATTACAACTGAAGTATTTTAATGTTTTCCTAACACCTTTCATACTGGTCCACCAACACCATGGTCGGGGGTGGTTGACTGACTGTATGAAGTAAATCCGACCACATGACTTCTGTCTCTTCCGAATCGGCCCCAAAAGTCTCGGGCTGCCCGAGCATTCGTTTATCTCGGGTGCCCCGGCCGAGCCCACCTGAACCTGTAATCTCGGGTACCCGCACACCTCTACTAAACTACAATAGAAAAAAGGAAAAGTATTATAAATTTGCATAGCTAGTACAAAATTTTATCAGAAATTCTGTAGATTACAAATACATTTCGGCCCAACATGCAAAGTATAATTGGCAGGTGTGAATTAAGAAAAAAGCTAGAAATATCTCCAAAAGTGGACATCCTCAGAAAATGAAACAGTATAATGGGCAGACTAATGTATTATTGGAATGATAAAGTAAAATTCAAAGTTAAATGCAATACAAGTTGTTGAATATCGTATCCTTCCATAGGCAATGTGGGTCGTTGACGATTTCCAATTTTTCCTGGACTTACCTCAGAATTTTTCTTTTTATTGCAAAAAAAGTTTTAAACATTTGCCTTAACGAACAGTTGTATAAAGTAACAGAGACTTTGATAAGTATCTAAGAACTATTTAAGATTTTTTGGCAGCTTAAAATAATAAAAACAACTAAGCTTGGACATAAACGACTCAGTTTCCCTAAAATGTTGATATATCTGTTGATACTATATGTAACTTTTCTATGGAACCAAGGATACCATGTCAGAGTCACCCATAAAAAATATTTAATAGTGTAACAAATAAGAAGAAGAGATTGGAATTCACCAATAATATAGATATCAATAAAGTACTAGAATATAGTGATTTTCACAAACGAGAATAAGTTCAATATTTTTAGGTCTGATGGACCTTGTAGTCTGGAGAAGAAAATAAAGAACACAATCCAGGAAACTTACAACCCATAGTAAAACACATTGGTGGTTCTGTAATTGTTTGGGATTGCATTAATGCAAGTCATGCTGGCACATTACAATTTACTGATGGAATGATGATCAAATGGGTTTATATTGACATTTTAAAATGTAATTTTGCATCTAATGTAGAAAAAGTGAACACTAAAGACAATTTAATAAAAAGAATGAAACAAGATACGATCCTATATAAAGGAGAATTTAGTTGACTCAATGCCTAGAAAATTCTGGCAATTATAAAAGAAAAAGGAAATCCTATGAAGTATTAATTAAGGCGTTTAGCTTATTTCATCATGATGAAATTAATGTAAAATTCTTTTTTGTTGTTGAAATTTTAAAACAGATTAATTATTCAAATATTGTATAAATATTTATTGTTCCTCTATTTCTGTCAATTTTTGAACTTTTGTTGTAAATTTCACAAACTATATAAGTACCTGATTTTTTTTACAATTACTCTACTATTCTAGAGATTTTCGAAAATATGTAGGAACTTGTTGTTCTACAAAAATATGTTAATAAATCGCAATGATACCAAAGGTGTGAAATTGATAGGCGTATGAATATTTTCCACAGCTACTGTAAATGGATAATAAAAAACAAAAGTACTAACAAACTGCTACTATCAGATTATACTCTACAATATGTTCAAAGACTAATATTTAATAGTGATAGTAAGAACTATTTAGATTGATGAAAAAAAACTGCATAATCCTAAGACTATGATCAAATTGTAACAATTAATGTATATATGTACACTTTATTTACATATTTGCACATTAACGGAATTATCGAGGTATTTCCTTAACGCAATTTCATGCATTACGCAGCAATTTTTTGTACGACACAAATAAATTCACGTTTAATAGTAACATCGGTAATTAAAAATGTCCGGTAGCCATCTGTGCACGTTTAATAAGTGTTACATGATTGAGCATATTTCTGAGAAACGTGTTACAGATAGAAATAAAGGTCGAGTGCAAAATATTTTAATTACGTAATCTCAATTTACGTTCAACGCGACAAAGATAGTCTATTCTACTTCTGAATATTGAAGTATTGCGTTAGAGTGCGCAATAAAACTTCACAATTGTTTCATTGTTAATTCTGACTGAAAACAAGTGAATAGAAATTAAACACAGTTAAAAATTAATTAAACAAGAATATTAGTGACAACTTAGCATAAATGTGCACATAAAAATTATACCTTGACTCCGCAAAAAATCTAGATTACAGAGAGAAAACGCGTCACTCAACACACTTCTACGCCGTCAAAGAATATCTAACCGGCAACCGGTTTCAATGTGACAAGTATCTGCTATTTTATAACGGTAAAGCAAATGTTTTACTTGCGCCATCTGTGAACCATACTGCCCACTAGTATAAAATTGCAATTTTTCCAATAGTAATTATTAATGATATTATTCTTTCATATTTTATAGATCAATTATATTAAACATTGTAAAATTCATTCAAAACATAACTTACTATTTTAATTATTTCATTGAGTTATTTAAATACGTGGCGAAGCCACTAGAAATGGCGTGCAAAATCACTAACGGTGATTTATCACAGTGATCACCGAATCACGATCACGGTCGTGATTTAACTTCATTTACGACCGTGATTGCGATTTTTTTATTTGAGTGAATTTGCTCACTGTGATCATAAGTCCTTGATCTTTAAACAGAAAAACGTATTCAATATGATTTTACGATGAATTGCATTACTATTTGTGTTTGTAAAAATCAGTAGAAAAAACAAGAAATTCTAAAAGAATGATTTGCTAGATAACGTGTAGATTATAATTTATAATCATTGATTTATTCATTATTCTTCATTGTTTCTAATTATTCTTTCACTTTATACGATATAACTCGAATTTTTTTTTTGAAGCGATTACTTTCAGGCGACTAATATTAGTCGCTTGAAGCGTCTACTTTAGTCGATTAAATATATTCGCTTCAAGCGACACGCTCGAACTATCGAGCTATTGGTAATTGAATATTGGTAATTGTTTAAAAAAACTTGTTTACCACTTATATTTTTGAAATTCTATCTATGAACTAATACATTTCCAAAGGTAAATGCACCAATGGTGCTGAAAAGTTGATGACGTATCTATACATAACCTATAAAGCAAAATTTCAGTCGACTAAAAACTATCGACTAAATAGTCGATAGTATGTTGCGACTAAATAATCATTAGTCGATAGTTTAATTTAGTCGATGGTGCCCATCACTAGTGCAAATACTTCTAAAGTCGATTTCACTTATTTTTCAGATACATAGCAGTCATTAGATGATTGCCACGTGCAGTCAGGGTCATTTAAGACTATAGAATATGTGTGCAAGATGGCTCGGGAAAAATGTGTAAAAAAGTATAGAAGAATGTAGTATGCATGTGTCGTATGTATTTTCTATGTTATACGGGCTGTACGCGCGAACAGTACACAGTCCGCTATTTCCTAAATTATTTGAAACACGAGAAAACTGTTTACATAAAGTTTAATGGCACGAGGGGGCAAATTAACGGGCTATGGCGAATTTTTTTTAATATTATTTTAAGAGATATGAAGGTCAAGTTTGGTTCTTCAAATGTAGTTGTATTTTTTTTAGACCACTTGATAGTACGTTTCAAGACGAATTCAGTGACCTTTAATGTATACACCATTTATGTAAACAGTTTTCTCGTATTTCAAATAGTTTAGGTTTAGGTTTAGGAAATAACTGACTGTATACTGTTCGCGCGGATCTGTATGTGCAACACAATTTTATTGTATATATTGCATGTTGTATGTATATAATGTAAAAATTTGAGTTATAATAAATTAAACATGAGTTGTTCACGATTTAAAATACATTTTATAAATTTATTGCATGTTGTATGTATTTTGTGTAAAATTTTAAGCATGACAGTGAGTGACTGGCGACTACTGTATGGGATCGTGTGTGATAAATTTGTGTTATAATAAATTTTGTTAGTTGTTTGCAGTTTTAAACATGTTTATTAAATTTATTCCATATCGTACGTATATTATGTAATAAATTTAATTAACACATTTAAAATTGTGAACACCTAATATCAAATTTATTATAACTCAAAGTTATCATACATGATCTCATACAGTAGCGGCCAGTCATTCACTGTCTCGTCTATTATAAATCGTTCCGAAATTCAAACGCGTCCCGGATATCGACCAAGAAAAACCTCTGAGTTGTACTCATAGACATATATAGACGGAGCATGAATTGAGCGGGGGAGTAAGATTCGCGGTAAGGGGGTGGTTAGTTATAAATCGGGTAACTTCGTTCCTTTTCGGTGCTATTCGGGTATGCAATCACGTTACACACATGTATGCTATGAGAGATGAAAAGAATATACCTATTATACGTTAAAAATTCCATGTGTCATGTAGTTTGTATAAATATATGTATGTAACAAAATTAATAAATAGTATAAAGCATTAAATAATAAGAATCAACAAAAATACTTGTTTTTATACAAAAATTTAATAAAAAGTTGTAATTATTTTTCTTTATTATACAATAGTATCACAGAATATAGGATTGATTTTAATGACATAATTTTAATGTATGTATTGGTTAAAATTGCTATAAAAGTACCTTGAAATATTATTAATAAACAAAAAAAATAAAAACAAAATTAATTGAAGAAATGGTATTTACTTGCACAAAAGTGCATGTACGAAGAACTGAAGTATATGTATAATGATAAATCGGTTCTCGCGTATGTACGGGCTGAGTGGATCTAGTGCGGATTCCACGGATTGAGCGGGCATAGCACGCATGTGGGCGGGTTTTGGCCAGGTTTAGCGGGTTTGCGGTGCGCATCGTCGGGCCAGCTCGGGTGAAGAAGAAACGGCCGGGTGACGGGCGGGATCAACCCGCCCGATGCAGATCTCTATAGCGTACCTATTCCGAGCCGGGCCAAAGGGAGTGAACCGAATTATTAGCTCTCCTCCTTAGTGTCCTTCTTGGGCGCATCTCTGCAAACCTCATTACGGCCAGACGAATTTTTTGCCTGGCATTGGACATCATCTCCGCATACGTGACAATAGAATCTGATCTGACTGTCAGCGTGATAGCGGTCGTTTAAGGGACGCGCTATAGGCGTACCTTCCCCTTAACCCCCGTGGGTTTTGTGGCTCTTTTTCGTGTATGAGAGACGAGAGAATCGGGATTCATAATGTATTTACTTAATAAATAATTTATCAATTAAATAGGTGATCCAATGAGTAATTTACTACTAACTTACAACAAATATATTTATTGAAACATTGTAATGCATAAGAAATTATTATGAATATATAAATATGAAATATGAAAAATGTTGACCAATGCTGTTGCCAAAATTGAACTCTACAAGGGAAGAATTCTTGTTCCTGCAGAAAATCCTGTAGATGCATTCGCGAGAATAATAATAATACAAACATATATAAGTGTCACTTATTTTTGTAGTAAAAGTCTAAGAAAGTAACATTCTTATTTTTACAATCATAACCTCAAATAAGGAAGGAAGTATGAAATAGAAAAGGATATTGAAGAAACTACTTAATTACAAAAAGGCATAAGGTAATGAAAAGCATTGATTTCAAATTATCTGAATTTTGAAACTTACGAGGTTATGAATCTGTAATTCTAATTAGAATATGGGTGAATTCAAGTTAGGGCTGCTTGGAGTCGAAACAGGTTCCAATGGAGAACCTGATGAAGAAGCTTCCAGAGGACAGACCAAATTACCATAATCCACTTCATTTTTGCTTTTCTTACGTTTTAATGTGAATTGAGATTTCTTTGGTATCTGAATTTATGCAGTAAGGAAACTCATTTTAATTACAATATTATTTCAGTAAAATTAGAAGGAATAAAGATTTGTAAAATACCTTCAAACGAGCAGTAAGTGTAAGTGGTACAAATCCCAGAGTATTTTCAATTTCTCTTTTCGTTTGTACAACTTCTCTACCAAGAATTTTATTAAAATGTGTGGTCAAATGTCTCCGGAGAAGAGTTTTTCCAGGAGAAATACTAAGTAATGTCGCCAATAATTCAGACGTAAATCTTCCTTCATACACCATTAAACCTCCATGTACTCCTGATCCTCTCATGTTAGGAGCATATTCTGCGAGATCAACTACTCTAAGCCACTCCATTACCCGATGATTTGTCCAGAGATGAACATTACCACCATCTGCCTCGTTACCACTTGTAGATCTTCTCTCAAGATTGTCGAACTCAAAATTTAATTCCCGTAGAACCTTCAAAAGAAAAAAAATTATCAATATTTTTACTAATGGTTTAATCACTATTAACTATATACATAAATATATAATGCTATATTTTCAATATAAACAGGAACGTAATAAATTATTTCATTTTTTATTTCATTTCAATAATAAATATATTTATATAACATGATTTATTTTTTTAAGTTTTAACCGGATGAACGAGTATATTCTTCAAAATTAGTACCTGAATTCCTCTTCTTAAGCTAGCAGCATGTAACTGTGCATTCACTCCAAGGCTTAATAAATCTTCAGTAGTCAATCTATGTAACATTCTACCATCAACTTTACCATTTTGAAATGCTTCTTTATGTTGTGGCAAACCTATATCATCAAGCCAACGTAGAACCGCAGGACTATCCATCTACAGATTAATAGACTTATTATTATAAGACCTTTGTAATTTATATACTTTATAACAGTTATCCTGGCAGGATTAAGTACTACATAAGAATTAAGATAACAATAATAAAGAAATAATAACAATTAACAATCATGTATATAGTCAATTAATTACAATTCAATAATAGTTACCTTATCAGACCCAAGAAAATCAATTCCACCAGATTTTTCTGACTCTATCGCATACAATAATTTCTTCCTATGAAGAACATTCTTAATTTCTAATTCTTTTTCCAGTTGCTGTTGGGAAAACTCAAGTATTTTTGATCCAGTAGCGCCCCATCGTCTTAATTCACTTGCATAACATTCCAATCCTAAATCTTCAAGCCACCCTCCAATTTCTTCCATTGAAAGGTCTGCCAAAGGTTTCTGAGGAACCATTTGTGCTCGACAAATCGAATTTTCTATAATAACTTTTTTGTTTTCTTCGACTAAAGTATATAGAAACAAAAGAGAATTAACTGATGTTATGAGAGAAATATAATACATGGTACAACATTACAGAAAAACACCATTAAACATAGTTATTCAAACTTTGTATAAGAGATAATCTTTTTTGGTGATTGCATTATTTGTTATCGTAATATACAATGCAATGCGTTACACAAATATACCAACCCCTTAAAAATTGAATAATATATGTTTCCAGTGTATAGTGTTGGGCGGTATTCGAATAACGAATACGGATGTAATTTTATTCGTTCATTTGTTGCGATCGCATTAAGACCATCGGTACATAATAGGCAGCTAAGGAATCACACCTAACAAACATGTAAATTCTTACACTTTTCAATATACAGTAATGTCCCGATAAGTGTGAGTCGATTTGCTCACGATAAGTGTGAAGTCGTCATCCCCACCACTAGGGAAGAGGGCCGTGGAACCAGTCAAGCGTATAATTTTTTGCCCGGCGCGCCGCGGCGGCTTCCCTTTCACGAGTCGATGGCTGAACGAGGGGAACAAATGCAACGATGAAACTTTTTGTTTTTGGTTCTTTGTTAACCAAACCAAACACGATATAATTTGGACCATATTTACTTATGATTTATCAGAAGCGATAATGAACGAATATGAATTGTTAACACTTTCTACATGAGTAAATATGATCCAAATTATGTCGCATTTGGTATCATTTTATAGTGTACTAGTAAAAGTTTCATTAACAACGAATCAAAAATAAAAAAGTTTCATCGTTGCATTAGCGTTGTATCACCGATACCCGGGAATGTAATCTTTTCTTGATCTCCCCTCGTTCAGCCGTCGCGTCGATCCGTCGAAAAAAGTCTTTTTCTTCTCACCGACTGGCACGACGGACAAAGCGGGGAAATGTATATGTACATGTCATGTACGATGCTTCGTCGACGTTACAATGGTGGCTGGATCACCTCCAGTCACACGTAATTTTATTACTGGCCGAAACGGTACACACACAATCAGACTGTCTGACGAAGAGAACGAACGAGACACATCGAGACCGAGTAAGATAACGCGACCACAGCGATTACAGTGTAACCATTGGCCGGTGGGAGTGTTGTAGGCAGGCTCACGAAGTCGAATCGAGTGGAAAGAGATGCTTTTTCTATCTGTTCTCTACGTCGCTTGTCCTTTTCTATGTCGGAGGACTACAAAGGCAAGCTGCCGAGGCTCGAGCTTCGAGCAAAAAACAGATTGACGAGATGCTGACAACTGTCCGTGCTCACCCTGAGTGTGACTCTGCGGATCCGATGCATTTACACTTATTGGCACATTACTGTACTTTCATGAAAGTGTTATGGATAAATTGAGGAGATTCGCCTGTTAACAATGAGTCCAAACGCGAATGTAATCAAACACTTTCTATTAGTTTCATAAGTACTGTTGCGTAAAAATTTATTTCAATCCACTAAAAGCTCTTGAAGCGCTAAAATAATTCTTTTGAAAAGTGAAAATTGCATCTTTTTGTATTTCTATTTTTTATTTGGTTTGTATGTACTTTTATGAAAATGTGATCAAAGGATTTCGTAAATAAGGTTTCAAGGTGACTATACAATTTTTGTCAGACTATAATATAATGAGAAATATTATTGAAAATAGTCAGAATGATGTCGTGTTTGGATTCATTTTCATCAGGAGAATCTCTTCGGTTTATTTGTGACATTTTCGTAAAAGTATATTGAAAAGTATAAAAGTTTAAATTCTCATTCATGGGTGATTTCTCGCCGACTTATGTTATATGCCAATAGTATCGCTTGAATATCTCACAAGGGATTGAAGTTATAAAACAGATGTTCTTATAAAAGTTGTTAGATGTAAAAGGGCACATTTTGTGGTATTAATGGTATGTTTGTAGGTGGACTGTTAGGGAAGATTTCAAGGTGGTTATTTTTTTCAAATGGGATCATATTTTTTTATAATCCTAATTCTGTTCGCTACCCGAGGATCACAGATGAGTATTTTTCGTACAAAGCAAGATATCCCATAAAAATTCTCGACTTTGGGCAAAAAGTAATCTGCACCGGATTCAGTAAACTAACATCCAATATCGGAAGTCTGTTTTGCTCTGGGTTAGGGTCCAATTATACTGTCCAGCAAATTAAAACTTTTTTACTACTCTGCAATATTTACTTGGAAATCCTTAGAGTTTCTTGTCCAGATCATGACTCCCGAAGCAAAATGTCCCCATTTCCCTCAGTTTTTGAAAAACATGAGTTTTTGTAAAAACAGCGTTGTTGTTATGCAAGAACAGCGTATTACATGAAAACTAAAGAAGCTAGAAAGTTTAATTTAGGCGTGAAAGATGGAGGAGAGTTTCCTAAATATTTCAGTGTATACAAATATTAAATTTTGTAATTTTTAATGGTTGTAAATGTCCGTAAAAGTTTAAAAAGTAGCCAATATATGTAATTTCTATACAATATTTTTGCATTTTTACGTAAAGTTCTTTAGCTAGCACGAACTTGTTACACGGTATCGGATTTTGTAGACATTTCTGAAGGAGAAACCGTCCAGAAAAAGTGTCAGAACGTTTTTTAATTCGAACAGATCGGGAAAATATCCCTCGACAACGTGTGCACGGAGTTTTGCCGCCACGCGGCCATTGATTGCTTACCTCGACTCTTGAGTGCCATAGCTACACGAAACCGACAGCAATAGATACCTTCCAATGGGCATTCCCAGTAAAATGTTTCATTTTCTTATGTACTCTTGGATACTAGTCCCGCAATTATAATAAATTTTATTAATAAATTCCGATTTGCGAAAATTCTGACTGTCGCCCGGTTATAGGGATTTCTCGATGAGTGCGACACGAACAGTGTGATTTCCACCACTAGGAGGGTCCCCCTCTGAAACCAATCGAAGCTAAGCAGAGGCTCGGCTTCGTGCAAAAAAAAAACAAGTTTATAAGGGGCTGAAAACCTTTCCTCCTTGCCACGAACGTTTCGAAGCGGACCGAGTCTGTCGCACTCATCGAGATATTACTGTCATAAACATTTTTTAAACTTTGTTAAACTACAGAACAAATGTATCATGTAACATGAAGAATTACCTGTAACATCGTTAACGTAAACAAATTTAAAAATGTTTTTTGTCTTACTCGACGGTTGTACGTTGCATCTATGTTGTTTGTTTATAAGTGTCCAGCAATAGTCTGCAAGCATTGCACACATGTCCTTCCCTTGGTACTGTTTTTGCATTTTGGATATATCTTGGTGGCACGTTCTCCATGTTCGTCACTCACGTCACTGAGATTTGGAAGAAAAAAGTCCAGATGAGAATGTAAAGATTGCATTTTTAGGAACATATTATAGCTAAGTTTTTTACTTTTTAACAGACCACTGACACTAGTAATATAATTCTTTGACCTGTGTTTGCCGAGGAAATGTTCTGTGACTGTTTTTAAGAGTAAGCCATACAGCAGTTTCCAAATTATTCAGTTTATCGGTCAAATTTTTGTCTCTCATCAAATCTGTGATTAGAGGACCAATAAATATGTCTTCTTTAATTTTCGCGTCAGCTATGGGTGGAAATTTTATATATATAACTTAAACAAATAAAAAAATGTTTATAACCGGGCGACAGTCAGAATTTTCGCCAATCGAAATTCATTCAGAAGTTCATTAAATTGCATGATTAGCATTCAAAAATACACGAAAAAATCTAACATTGTACATATGGCAAGGAGGTGCCCACTGGACGGTGTCTATGGGTGTTGACTTCGCGTAGCTACTGGAGTGCACGCGTTGCCGACGGATATTTTCCCGACCTGTTCGAATCAAAAGCCATTCCGCCGACCCTTTCTCTGGATGGTGTCTCCTTCAGAAATGTCTACAGAATCTGATAGTGTGTAGCAAATTCGTGCTAAGTAAAGAATTTTTCGTAAGAATGCAAAAATAGTGCATAGAAATTATGTACATCGGCTATTTTTAAACTTTTACGGACATTTACAACCCTTCAAAATTATAAAATTCAATAATTCTATACAATGACATATTCAGACCTATATTTTCATTATAATGCCATATAGGAAATTTCACCTTTTATTTATTAACATGAACTAACTTGATCTAATTTCTATTAAATGCGGAAATCGCAGGAAAGTTAATCTTTTTTTTATTATACACAAACTAACCTAACCTTACTTCTATCACCTTGCACAGAATGAAATCTAACCGTAATTTTAAACATTCCGGAAACGTTTCTCATACGCCTTTTAAGACATTATCAAAGCGTTTTTAAAAACGCTTTAAACGTTGCCAAAAAGTACAGGGAATGTTACTTTTACACATTCGAAGAACGTTGACACAGGACGTCCTCAAGACGTTCCTCTTTGTAAATAGGACCTTCCTACGACATTTAAAGATCTTAAAGAGGACGTAGGGGGGACATGTGGACTTTTTCGGGACATCCTCCAAATGTACTGAACGTCAATATTGTGATATATCATCGTTTATATATCCTCGGTGACCTTCGGAAGGTTTTAGCAGTCGCTTGTTTTTTTATTAAAAAGTTATAAACAAAAAGTCTACAAAATGCAGCAGTTATTCTGACTATTGGAGGGCTACAATGGCCTTCACCTTGACATATGTAGTCAAGGTCACCCTCCTCAGTGACCTTGAGAAAGTTTTTGCCGTCGCTCTTTATTTGTTAAACAATTTTTAACGAATAAATTTCACAACATAAAGGTGTATATTTGGCTTCATATTTTAAATTATACCTATTATAAATACTGTATTATAAGAATATCTGCTTTTTTCAGTAATTGCGTAGGCGGGGCTGAAATGATTAATTATATGGGAAATGTTTATGAAATGCATGGGCGAGGGTGGGGCTGCACCCCCACCCTGAGAAACAATCCAGCTTTAACTTAATCCAAATCTCATTTTCATTTAATCAGAAATGAATTCAGGTCAAGTTAGAGCTAGATATTTCTCGAGGGAGGGGGGGGGGGCAGGGCGAGGAGCTCCGCCACTTCACATAAAGAAGCAAATGTGTTAACAATAAAATGTGTATACTATTTAGGTAAGATTTAGATCATGAAGTTAATCATAAACGTTTGTATTGTGAAATTTATTTGTGAATAACTTTTTAAAAAGTAAAGAGGGACTGCTAAGTTTTTATCAAGGTTACTCAAGAAGGTGACATTTACAACATATGTCAAGGTCAAGGTTATTGGTGCCCTTCAATACTCAAAATAACTGCTACATTTTGCAGACTTGTTTGCTCATAATATTTTAATAAAAAACGAGCGACGGCTAAAACCTTTTGAAGGTCACTGAGGAGTGTGACATTTGTCAAGGTCAAGGTCATCGGAGCTGCCACCCCTATTCTAAATATTTACCAATTTTGTTGTTTATAAAACGTTCAAAAACGAATGTTCTACAACCAAACTTGCTATACGTATAAATTTATTAGAACTTTCCTAATTTCTTTTTATAGTGTCTTGTATTGGCACAAAATAAAACTATTAAATTCGTTTATGTTCATTTCAGAACATTCAAGTTCGATGGGTTAATATATTTATGAAACGCACTATGTGTAAAATATGTAATATATTATATTATTAGGAAAAAGGTACAGTAGACATTCGTTTATTGCCGACCCTTTTATTGTAGCATGGGAACGCCCTTCGCTTACACGTATTTCTCACACACGTGCGCGCACCCCACTCTACCGTCTAACACGCCCAGAAGGGAATGCATACGGTGTCGCGTTTCACTCGTATATTTCATTACAGAAAGCGAAGTATATATAATATTGTCTTAATAAAATGTTTCAATGTTTTTAGATGCTTGCAGTTATAATCAACTACATTTCGTATTATGCTTAATTCATATTGAATACAAGTAGTTATGTAAGCAGATAAACTTGTAACAAAGTCAGTGTTGGGCATAACCTCTTTGGGCATAAAAATATTAAATGTCTTTAAGGTGGTTGATCATAGAAATTGAAAAGCTGCAAAAAGTTAAAAATTCATACATATGGAGTTTATATATGAGATTAATACCTATTACAAAAAATGTGTTTTCCTAGGGCGTGATAGTGCAAAATTTATTACAATAGTACAAAGTAAAACTGAACCAATAGTACTGTTTTATATAAAAGATTATTCCTATAAATATTACATACATGAAATAATTAAAAATCTCAACCTGTATATAATTGTACAACTATTTCCACTTAAGAAACAATTAATTTTTTCAGTATATTCTCTTCAATTTGTTACTTATAATATAATACTTCCAACACACTTCTGAATATATGTATAAAAGTATTGGTAATTGTTTAATTCTTTGTCCAGTGATCTCTACTTGAAAATATTAACAGAAGGTTCTCAATAAAAAAATCATAGAACAATAGGATTGAATATCTTAAAGATATTATGAAAATTTAACATTGAGTATGTCATGATGTCTGATTATGAGTCAGCAACTATATCTTAATAATACTTACTCATTAGTAGCATCTAAATGAATAACTTATTTTCCTGCAAAAATAGTCACATTGGTTCAGTTTTGCTCCTTACTGTATTTTGTTGCATTCACTAACTTGTGTTTTTCTACACTTTTATACATAAATAAGATAATTAATAAGCAAATGTAGTTGTTAATCATTTTGTATGTCACAATTAAACAAATTCAAATATTCATATTATTGATTACATTGTTTTTAATAAAGAAGAATAAATGAAACTACTATTCAATTATACATGCATTATAAACAATGGTCCAGTAACTTTGATCACATTAATTATCTTCATTATTTCTACAGGTATAAACAAATTTTATTCACAAAACTTATCTGGTATCAGAGGGACTATAACATAGCAGAAATAATTTTGTTATAGGTCGAGAAAAAATTAACAGTTTGTTACATTTTGTATATAAAATATCTCACGTATTATTAATTTTTTTCACATATTACCTTAATATTTTATTACGCAGAATGTTTAGAAGAATCCACTTACGTAAAAAAATTTTTATTCCACAATATTTCAGTATCGTTAAAAAGGAAACATAATTAATTTTGAAAACTCAGGATATCCTCAACCAACGAAAAAATTGTTACTGCAAATTAATAGCCCTTTCCATACTAAACAACTTCTGTGAATAAACTTTTCTGATATCTCCAAAAATAACGAAGATAATGAAGATGATTGTAAAATGCGTATATCCAGCCCACCCTATATATATATACGTGCGTCGCACAACTGAACGGCCGAATGGAGGGGAGAGCGCGCGGGTGATTGGAGTTTCCTTATTGCAGTATTCCTGGAATTCTGACCCTCTACAGCCCCGAAGGTGCAATAAACAAATGTCTATTGTAAATAAAAACTTTTCATGCATTAAAAAGGGAACAGGCTTATAAAACATATTTAATCGATTGGTAAATTGCTAGAATAAAATTGGGATAGTTATTGACCGCGATTGCCTGTCAGACAAAAGGAATAAATAATAACTACATTTTTAGAAAAAGCATGTGATGATGCATGCTTAGAGGAGAAATCATCGCCACCTAGAATAGGCGCAGACAAGCATCTCGCGGAGGCTCCTCTAATGGCCAATGGTACCGTTGTGTGCGCTCCAGAAGTTAAACTGGGAACCTTACCGAACACTACGCCTTTCTTTGAAGAACTCAGGGGCCTAGGAAGACTACTATACTGGCTGGTATGCCTTCCAAATTTCTCTCTCTGCAATAAATACCTAATAATGTTTTCCTCTAACGACATGATGATGATTATTAAATAGTGAGTGTTACTTCAAATCATACAACTTATAATTTAAACAATTCATTTCTAAGAGACATGAAGGTCAAAATAAATAAATAATAGTGACACAAAAGGAACCAATGTTAAATAAATAACTATACATATATACAACTTAACTGCTATTCAATTACCCATAATTTTGTAATATTTCGTAGTAATTTGACCAAACTTTCGTTGAACTCCGGTCTTATTAATAGCATTCCTCTTACAAGGCTTTAAAGTGGATTAGTTTTAATAGACTATTTTTTTAAATTATATTGTTATAAGTAGGAAATACACGAAGAGACTTAAGATGGCTCACGCAAATTTTTAATAATTACAAATTTAGTTGAAAATTTCACAGAACATTCTTAAAAGCTTCATCTTTCGATTGCTACCATAAAATCGCAACGTCAACGATAAAATTACTGAAAAAGAAACGTTATAACATTTTTTTTTTAACACGAGCCTTATGGAACTGTAGTTGACACTAAGTTAATAACTTCTTATTTGGTTACAAAAAATGACATTTTCATAAAGAATTAGGTGGTTATAGATTTTTTACGGAGATTATGGTGGCAGTGGGACGGAAAAAAAGATATATTAACAATTAAATAAAACTAAAGATTAAAATCAAAGTATGCAATCTTAAATTCAACGCGTTTGGTAATACTTCTACGCTGTCTATCATGAGCGTCAACGTCACTTGTTTTCCTTTGGTTTGTTCGACGAACTGTCCAATTTTTTTCTTGAAAATTAAAAATAGATTAAATTTTTTTTACAATGAAGAAAAAAATTGTTGTTTTTTCCACTCATTTGTACATTGTTTTCCATTTCAATATTTTGAAGTAGTTTAAAATATTAATCATTCAAATTAAAGTGGTAAAATTGATAAAAAGTGTAAAGCGCCCTATGGAGCCCCAGCTACGACACCAAACGCGTGAGCTACCTTAATCCAAGGAGGTCCATTTATTTCGAACCATTTTCGCCTCCACGTTGATATTTTTTTAGTTTAAAAAATAATTTAATAGATTCCTACTGTTCCTTTTTCTCGGAAGATATTAATAGAGCGAAGAGAAACTGTCAAAGTTGTCGCTAGATAGAATATTCAATCCGTCGTAACTTTTGACTTAACAGAACTTTATATTTGTAGAAATTGTAGGATGTATGATGTTAAATGACACTGACTGTATATATAAATAGAAAATTAATATAAAATTTTTGTAAAAAGTCTGTAATGCGGTTTTATGGCGTTATATTGACTTACATTTAACACGGGACTTGTACTGCGAAGTGCAAGATTTTCATGTTCCAAGCTAGCTAGTCTGAGCTTCATTTCTGATAGAGAGTTCAATAGTTCTAATTTTTGCGTTTCCAAAGAACTCCTTGAAAGTATTTCCTTTCAAAACAGAAATTACTTAAATAAAATGAAACGGAAATAAAAATAAAATAATAAAATATAGTTTAATCACAGAAAAAAATATACAGGGTGTCTACTTTTATTGGACTCGGTGGAATATCTTGTGAGGAGCTGAAGGTATAAAAAAAATGTTCGTATTAAAGCTGTTTGGTATGAAGGGGGACGTAATGTATGTGTTCAAAGTCAAGTTAATTTTTTATAAATGGAATGTTATATTTTTTTGTTTATAATATGATAGCGTTTATTGAGACGAATTCAACGCTGTGCAAACAGAACACAGTATTTTATTTTTTTTTAAGTTAACTAGACCTTGACATCTCGGCCACTACTCCATCCACACAAAAATTATTTATACTACATTACCTTTCCCTTCATATCAAACAACTTTAAACAGAACATTTTTTTGATACTTTTAGTTCCTTGCAAGATATTTTACCGGATCCAGTTAAAACAGACACCCTGTACAACATATTATAATAAAACATTAACAATAGAATACAGTGTCCATATGAGATGAGCTCCATGCACGGGAGTGGCGACTAGTTTCTACTGTTGCGAGTGGGTAGATGATACGATTTTTATTGTTTTGCCAAATAAAAAAGTGGGCACGGAATATCCAAAATATATTCTTTTTATTTCTGCATCTATCAGAACAAAAAATGCTGGGAACAACAATGAATTCATGAAAAAAGAAGACAAATTGAGCTTATGTCAAGAGAATACCGTAATAATGAAAATAAGTAAAAAGAATTACTTGCTGTAAAGTCTCTTCCATTCTTCTTAAAGAATCTTTCTTTTCTCTCAGCATATTTTCCAGTTCTTGAATTTTATTGGATTGTGCATCTACCTGCTCCGATAAAACTGATACTTCCATGCGTAAGGCTCCACGTTCATTTTCTAATTTCCTTAAACGTTCCTATGAAATTCAAATTGATGCTGCATAAAAATATTACTTATGATATATTGCAGTATAATACTTTCAACATCATACATTTTTTTATTAAATAATGCGAGAGTGAAAATATAGTTGTGCATTAATAATGTTAATATTATAGAATCATATAAATATTACATACACATCCTGAGTTCCATACTTTACATAATGTATTTTATAAATTACATTGTCATCTAATATTTTAATGGTTAAAAATAAATCATATTTTTTTATAATTTGTTTGAATCATGTATACTATCAAACCTGATTTATTACAAGTATTGGTGTACCTCAGTGTTTAATAGACACTCCTTCCATTTTCGAGTATTTTGAAAGTGTTGTAGCGAACAACAATTAGGAGATTCTTTTCTTCTTAACAGAATATCTGTTTGTGATCTAATTCTTTGATCACAATCTATTCTGTTTTTGAATCGTCGTTTTCTTCCAGGTTCAAAAGATTGATTGCTTCGATTTCCTTTTTGTTCTCGAATATTTTCTTGACAAATATGCTTTTTTGCACACAAGCTGTTTGATTATATTCTATTGTCAGTGAGTTTGAACATAAAACTAATCAGAAAAGAATAGTAGACAAAAACGACCTCATGTTATAAACTGTAGGACAGTAGGGTGAAGAAGTCCCCATATGAGTCAAACGTGGGGGTGAACACAGATTTGGTACACTTCCTCTGAGACCAATCACTTTAGCATAACCTAATGGGCAATTCTAAGAAACCAATTGGGTTGTCATGTACATAATTTTCATAGCGTTTTTAGCAATTAAAACTTTAATGCATTACCTATTGTATCATACATTTTAATGTCAAATAGTTTCTAATAAAACTAGAGGAACTAAATATATTCGTAATCATTAACATTAAAAAGGAATTCTCAACCTTCTTCAGTCAAAGTACTTTGAGCAGTAGCTAACATACTGATCTGAGCTATTGGGTTGTTCGGAAAGTAATTTCGTTGTTTTTCAAGTAGATATCGTTAATCGTATTCTTAAGCAAACAACTTCATTCTAATCTATAAAATCACTACACATTTTGATAACTGACATTGCATGCTACAGTTAAAAGAAAATTGTTTTTGAATCTGTCAAGTGATTTCTGCTTATTGTCGCATCAAAAATGGAAAACCAAAGTGAGCATTTTCGGCATATTTTGCTTTTTTATTATCGTAAAGGTAACAATGCCGTGCAAGCACGAAAAGAATTGTGTATGGAAAGGATGTGTTGACTGAATGCCAGTATCAAAATTCGTTTTCGAATTCCGTTCTGGTAATTATGATGTCACAGATGCACCAAGTTCTGAAAGGCCAATCGAGGCTGATAAACATCAAATAAAGGGTTCGTTTCGAAACTCGATATTTGTGTTCCACACGTTCTCAAAGAAAGACATTCGATTCTTCGCATTATCATCTGCGATATGCTGTTGAAACGTGAGGAAAACGATGCATTTATAAAACGAATCATAACTGGTGGTGAAAAATGGATTGTATACAACAATGTTGAACGCAAACGATGATGAAGCAGACGTGATGAATCATCTCAAAGCACATCGTAAGCTGATAATATCCATCAAAAGAAAGTGATGCTTTCTGTTTGGTGGGATTGAAAAGGGATTGTTCTTTTTAAGCTCCTTCGAAACAACCACACAATTAATTCGAATGTATACTACCACCAATTGGAAAAATTAAATGATTCCATTAAGCAGAAGAGACCAGAATTGGTGAATAGAAAAGGTGTAGTGTTCTTTCACGACAACGCTAGACCTCACACATGTGTGGTGACTCGCCAGAAGCTGTTAGAACTTGGATGGGATGTGCTACCGCATCCACCTTATTCACCGAATGTGACACCATCCGATTCTCATCTGTTTCGGTCGCTGCACAATTCTTTGCCTGGCAAAACTTTTGATTCAAATGAAGGTGTGAAAATCTATATAATTCAGTTTTTTGCCAATAAGGAGAAGAAGTTCTACGAGCGCGGAATCACTTGATTACCTGGAAACTGGCAAAAGGTGTTGGAACAAAATGGTCAATATATAACTGAATAAAACTGTTTCTTTCTATTAAAAAAATCGTCTTTCATTTTCATGCAAAAAACGAAATTGCTTTCCGAACCACCCAATATTATACAAGACAGATAAACTAGCTTAAGATGTATTGGAAAATTGTCATGTAAAATCAATAAATACTTTCAATACTTAATGGTTATTTCTATTTATCTTAATACATTGTATGTTAAGATTTCAGTTATTCTAGACTTCAATAGTTTTTATAATTATATACAAATATAATAAAATATTAAACCTTCAATACAGGAGAAAAAATATTGTAATTCAAACATTTTTCACGAATGAAAATAGAATTGACATATAAGTAACTAAAGTTAGAATACAGTCAAAAGCACTTTTAGATCAAAGCAGAAACTTTTATCGTTTACCAAAAGATAACAATCGAGAAAATATTTCATATATTTATAATGCCTTGTAATATTTTTCAACAGACAAGATAGTAAAAATGTTTTAATAAATGAAGTTCAACTAGTGACCTGTATGATAAAACTGTTTTAACCAGTACATCTTACTATTTAATTGAAAATGGCTGATTTTCTGTCTTCTACATTGTAACAAGTATTTTATAAGTTTTTTGTCACTAATCAGTAAATTACTATATTCTATTTTACATTTATTTATCACAGATTTAAAAATCTTTTGTAACTTTACAAATTTTTCTAACATTTCTATTAATGAATTTTTTAAGTACTACCTGGCAACAACAGCTGTCAGATTCATACATTTGTTGCTCAAAGCAATTAAAATTTGCAACTTGATTCTCTTCTTGATCAGAATTTGATGTGCCTGAAGAGTCATAGCCTTCTGAAGGTGTACATCTACCATCCCACTGTTTTATTCTTGATATAGTTTCTGATGAATCCGAACCTAAATGAATTTTGTAAACTAATCTTTTGAAGTGTGTGTTTAGCATCATTGTACTATACATAATATTATTATACAAATGAAAATATAAATATTTCTGTTCAGTAGTAATAACAGTAATAAAAATGAATAAATAAATGTTTATTTGCACGAGCAGAGTATTTTAACAACATTTCTATCATATAATAATTTTATAGAATATTTCCATATGATTAAATATTACGTAAATTAAATTTTGCAGTCCATATAATATCTTATTTCGTCAACCCTAAAACGACACTACGATATTGCTAGCAATGCCATAACATTTCGATGGAAACATGTACCAATAGATTAAAATACTAAACTTTCAATTACTCGTAACTTACAACAAGCCTGGTCAAGTAGTGATCCGCTTTTTAGGCTTGCTTTTTTGGGAGTACGGAAATGACCCTCCTCCATACCCACAGGAGGACCAACGAGATCAAATCAGGAAAGCGCGTGTGCATACTCTGACTGTCCCCACTATAGACATACTATATGTATAGACGGAGCATAAACTGAGCGGGGGAGTAAGATTCGCGGTAAGGGGGTGGTTAGTTATAAATCGGATAACTTCGTTCCTTTTCGGTGCTATTCGGGTATACAATCACGTTACAAACATGTATAATGTATGCTATGAGAGATGAAAAGAATATATTTATTATACGTTAAATTTCCGTACGTATAGATATATGTATTTAACAAAATCAATAAATAGTATAAAGCATTAAATAATAGTACGGCACACAGCCCACCAGCCATTAATAACGAGCCGAATCGAGCCGAATGCATCCGAAGCTAACCGACGTATATCTAACGACCGCTGTCTTTTCCCCTCCAATCCTACGGTCCCCTCGCCCAAAGTGGTAGCTTATGCTCCGTCTATATGTATATGTGTATGGTCTATACCCCTTCTACACGAAATGTGTAATCACTCCCTTCGCCTAAAGTAGGGATTTATGCTCCATCCCGTTATTCCTATGTCCATGCTCTGAACTCATTGCCATTTTACAGGGACCTCGCGATTATTGACTGATTATTGATCCACGATTATTGTCCAGACGTCATCCCCACCACTGGGGGGGGGGGGGGGGGAACCCGGCAAGCGCATACTTTGTTGCCCCGGCGCGCCGAGGTGACTTTCAATTCACGAGCCAACGACTGAACGTTGGGAACCCACAAAAAGGTTATATTCCCGGATATCGGTGAGATGATACCAATGTAACAATAAAACTTTTTTATTTTTGGTTCGTTATTAATGAAACTTTTATGAACATATTGATGAAATTTTTCTGATTATATTATTTATGATTTATCAGAAGCGATAATGAACGAATATGAATTGTTACCACTTTCTACATGAGTAAATATGATCCAAATTATGTCGTATTTGGTATTATTTTAATCAGAAAATTCTCACGAATATACTAGTAAAAGTTTCATTAACAACGAATCAAAAATAAAAAAGTTTCACAGTTGAATTAGCGTTGTCTCGTGCCCGGGGCAACAATGTACGCACTTGATGGACTCGACGGACAAAGCGGGGGAATGTACGACGATTTATTAGTCGAAGGTTCAATCGTCAGCAACTGCCCAGAGAGCTGCCGACGATTTAAATGTAGCTGGATCACTTCCAGTCACACGTATTTTTATTATTGGTCGAAACGGTACACACACAATCGGACTGTGTGGTCGGCGAGAGCGTCGCAAGTGGGCCACGCAGTCAAATCCAATGGAAACAGAAACATTGTCTCTGTTTTTCAATCGTTTGTCCTTTTCTATGTTCGGAATACTACAAAGACGAGTTGCCGAGGCTCGAGTTTCGGGCAAAAAATGTATTCACGAGGGTCAGATGGGTTTCGCGTAGTCCATGATTATTGTCCCGGCGTGGACCCGACTTTGGGACAATAATCGCGAGACCCCTGTATTCCCCTACAGCCCCGATCATAGCAATATAGTTAGAGTCAACTGTATTATGATTATGTATGATGGAAGATGCTAAAGTAAGATTAGTTTGTA